AAGGAGAGGAGGCTACAGATCGGTATATTTAATGTCTATATTGGGCAACAGATTGTCAAGCAATATGTCAGCAAGTATTTAGAAAAGGACGCTGCCATAATCCAGAACCAGCATAGATTTTTGTCAAGAACCATCTTGTCAGATTAACCTTACAGGTAGTTCTTGTTTAGCAACTGCCTCTTCTTCTCATGTAGTAGAAATGGACAAAGAAAGTATTCAGAAATTTCAAGGCCTCTACCCTTCTGCCCTGACTGAGAAATAACCTTAATTACCCTTAATAATATTCTAGCCCTAGTTTCAGCCTTTAGCTTAACTTTGGTTAAGCTTTAGGTTAGGTATGGTGCAAACAAATCCTTGTATCACAGTATATCATCTAAAGATTGTGTGTGTGTGTGTGTGTGTGCGCACATGGGAAGGTGGTGAGGAAAAAGGATTTAGTCATTCCTCAAGCTGCTGCTAATGTCCTAACCATGTTAAGATGAAGCCAAAAAGAAACATTGGTTCTCATAATTTGGAAAAAGCATCACTCTTGCAAGGCATACAGATACTGTATTCTATATTTGGAACTGCAGTACTTTTACGAGTTATTATAAAGTATCATTGCAAAATGACGTGTGTGTAACTCATGCCCAGTTGTGAAGTCCTGTATTTATAAAATAAGCATAACTTTATTTCAATTGTGATTAAGGTGATGAATACATTTTCCTTAATCACAGGATTAAGAGAGATTTGCTTATAATTCATTACACTACTTTCAAGTATGTCTAAACAGTATGTTTCCTCTCATTCTGTAATACCTCATAATGTTGCTCTAGAACAGTGTTTCTCAACCTTGGCAACTTTAAGATACATGGACATCAACTCCCAGAATTCCCCAGCCAGCATGGACGTTCTGGGAGTTGAAGTCCAGACATCTTAAAGTTGCTGAGGTTGAGAAACACTGCTCTAGAGTTTCACACATCCAACAGTACTTTTATTAAACAAAGTATTGCAGTGGCATATACAGTTTTGGTGTGCTGTTGGTGAATCACCATATTTTCTTCCAAATTGAGAAGTTTGCAAAAGGATTCTCTACATCAGGGTTTTTCAACCTTTGTA